AACTTCTTTGGAATGGGTTTTGGGGCCGCTTCCTGTGGGAACGATTTTTGTACGAACTTCTTTGAATCTACACCCTTCAAGATTGGGGGTGCGCCTGGAATTTGATCGACCCTAGAATTGTAGGTTTCCACCTTCTTGTCATTGGCTTCTATCTTCTTCTCGCCTCACTCGATCCTCTTTGTGAGGTCCTCGAACATCTTTATGATGGCGGGGTCGGTTGCCGACTCGTTGTTGTTTGATATTTCTAGTGCCTGCTCGGCTTGGGGAGCCGTTTCCGATGCTACCGTACTGGGAGTTTTCTGGTGGCTTTCTAGCTGAGCAATTGCCAGCTATTGTGCCTGTAACATTTCAAAAATAACGTGAAGGCTAACCTCTCCTTATTCCCTAGCTAGGATTTTCTGAGCTTCTTGTTGGTCTCTTGGTGTATGCTCCTGTTAGTGTGGGAGCTTATATCGATGTGTTGGGCATCACGTGAGACCACATCCGCAGAGATTTGCTCTGGCACACCTTCAGGGTTCAGTGATGGTTCGCCAATACCTGGAACAGCTACACCATTTTCTCCATCGTCCTCAAGACCGTTGTTTTCATACGCATTCACTGAGTTAGACATTTTTGACCTGAAATCAAAGATTCTTGGACAAGGAAAAACGTGAAAGATAACTCGTGTTATGTAGTAAACCATCAAGAAAATAATCACTATTATTTTTAGACCCACGGTGGGCGCCAAACTGTTTACTTTGAAAATGATAATAATTAGATTTGATTTTGTGGTTCTAAAAATATGTGATCTATTTTATGCTAGTTGTTAGGGAATAGATGCTAAGTGAAGGATTAGAAAATAATATAATAACTTGTAGATAGTGTAATAATCAAACTGAATGGTTGGGAATCGGGGCCGCAAACTTGCATATACGGGGCTTCGAGATCGAGTCGGATGCCTGGCTAAGGGCAGTTGATGGGGGACTAACAATTATGACAAATTTGATTGCGGCTCTTTATGACCAATAATGAGCAATAAAATGAAGAACAATAAATAGAACACAATGAATATAAGCAATAAATGTAAGTATCAAGACAGTGAGTCCAAGTTAGAGAACAAAGAGAATGTTCTTGTATTGAATGTGGTGTGTAGTATCTATTCTTACAAAATGACAAGGGTCCAATTTATATATGAAGGGGGAATCCCAAAATAGTACAAATGCATTTATTACCAAGATAGATAGCTGGTACAGCCATTTAATGTCACGGTATGGGCTTGAACTAGCCAAATAGACTTTGTCAGCTCTAGTCACGTGCCTTGGGAACCTCACATCGATCCACTGTAGCCACTAAGTTACACTGCCTCGAGGTCGATCATTGAGAACCTCGGGGTTGAAACCCCAGGCTGAGCTTCGAGCCTTCTGGGGGCAATCTTTACGAGGCGCCTTAATGATCATAAAATTGGACCACCGATTTTTACCATATACAAATACTGAATAATAGTCGCTAAATATTTTGCTAACTCTAACAGCTTCCAAAAACAAGTAGCGAGTCAAATTTTACCTTGAAATCAGATTTAACTCTTTGTTCGAAGAGATAATAAACTTCTAAGTCATCAATGTGAAGTATAGATTCTGTAAAAAGCCCTAGCTATTTCGCATTCATATCAAAATGTACTTGTTATGCTTGTGCAGAATATTAAATATAATAATCCATATACTTAGTTTTTCGTATTGCTAAGCTCATATGTGAAATTGAGAATATGTTGAGCCTAACTATGGTTGTCCAATGGTGTAAATGGAACAACTCGTTAGGCCCGTCCTGTTCTATTAACTAACGGGAGGGGAAGGGACGAGACGGGATATGGGCCCCACGTGAATTTTTTTATTTAAAAAAAGTTAATTTATGTTGGCAACGACTATTTTCTAAATTTACCAACTACTAATATTTTAAAAGTTTGCAACAACTAGTTTTTTAAAGTCAGCAACTCGTACTATTTTTATGATCTTAAACTAAATGAATTATAAAAAGCTAAGTAAGAAATTATAAAATATTAAAACAAAATACTTATAGCGAAATATTTTTGTAAATATAATAGACTTGTATATATATAGGCCCGGTATTTTTAGTTTGGTGTCATTTTGATCCATATTTTAACTGGCTGTGATTGGGACCGGTTAGGATCGATATATGCAGCCCGATAATCATTTCGGTACGAAGACCGGCCATGTTGTTTTTTGCCAAGATCGGCGCGGAACGGCCCCGACCCTTTGTCACCTTTAATTTTCCTTTTGTGTTAGACAAAACATCAGAGGATTTGCATCTATACCTATTTTTGGGGTCATGTTTTAACTTGTGCCCGCTTTACAAAAAAAATTGCAATCATACTCACTTTTTCGCGGTACTTCAGCATACGGGGCTGAAGTAGCAAAGGTAATCACGCAAAACTTCAGCATTTTAGTAGCCGGGTCTGAAGTAGACCAAGTGTGTTGAAGTTTTTGTTTGTAATTGCTGAACTTAAGCATTCTAGTGCTGAAGTTTTGTTCTCTATTTGCTGAACTTAAGCATTCTAGTACTGAAGTTTTGTTCTCTATTTGATTAACTTGTTTTTGTTATAATTGTTGAACTTAAGCATTCTAGTAAAGAAGTTTTATTTTCTATTTGCTGAGCTTAAGCATTCTAGTAGCTGAGTTTTGTGATGCTGAAGTTACTTAGTTCATTTGTAAAAACTTCAACACTAAAAACGCTAAAGTTTTTTTGTTCTGGATAAGCTTTTTCAAAAACTTCAGCAGAAGATGCTGAAGTTATTTAGTTCATTTGTAAAAACTTCAGCACTACATAAGCTGAAATTTTTGAAATAAAATTTGACTTGAAACTAAATGGCAGTAGAAAGGGGAACATCAACTTCAGATTAACGGACATGCAAAGCAAGCTGAAGAATCAGCCAACTCCATACAATCCAAAGAGCTGAGCAAAAAGAAACGCAAGAAATTCTTAATTTTTGTTGCACTCTCTACTCTGTTTCAAATTGCAATCACTCTCCTCTCTTCATTGTACATAATGAAAGTCAGAACTCCCAAGTTTCACGTCCAGTCCGCTACCTTTGATGTGTTGTCTAAAAATGCAGAAAACTCTTCATTCAACATTACAATAAATGCTGAATTTGGTGTCAAGAACACCAATTTTGGACCTTACAAGTACAGAGACAGCAGTGTTTATTTTTTCTATAATGGTACGAGTATTGGAGAAGCCTTTGTTTCCCATGGCAAAGCTGGTTTTCTATAATGGTGCGAGTATTGGAGAAAGAGGGGGAGAAAGGGGGCTGAAATTGTTTTAAAAGTGGGTACAAGTTAAAACTTTTTAAAAAATAGGTATAGGTTAAATGGGGGCGACCAAATAGGGCGTCCCGTGCAATTTATACCAAAACATCGTATATCACTAAAGTCGAGTCATGTGTCATTGTTTTAGCTTATTTACAAATTGGCAAGTAAGAAAATTCTATAAACTTGTAACATGTTTGTCACACCCCATTTCTACCCCCCAATAAAGATATGTACGATGAATTGTGGGTTAAAGATTTTTTTCAATTAAAGTGACAAATTTGAGTAGGGATTATTTTATTGTTCAGAGACGCCACTTGGAATTAATTTTTGGGTGTTCCAAGTCACTTTTTATTTTGAATCCCTAGTCAAAGGAAGGTTTGACTCTATTATTATTGGTCTGCGAAAACAAAATCCGGGTAATGAATTCTGTTGACCGGGAAGAAGGTGTAAAGCATTCTCCGAATCCCGTAGTTCTAGCACGGTCACTTTTATTGACTAAAATTGGCTTGAATTAATTTTGGATAAATTGTGCTTTATTTGATTTTCATGTTTGCATATGTCCACTTTTATTGTTGATGACTTTATTAATCTCAAACTAAGACAAGTATCCCCGACCCTAGCTTACACTAACCAAGATGAGTATCCCAAACCTTAGTTCGTGCGTCGTATCCAAAATTGGAGTCTACTCGAAGTTAATTAAATAACAAAAGTTTTATTTACTTGAAAGAATTGGAACAAGATGTCCTCACGACCTTGCCATTTATTTATATTTTTATTCTGAAGCGAGTCTTCCCGACATCAGTTAAAACGAAATTATTTACCTTAGTTAAGACAAATTACTATAGGGGTTAGATTACGGAAAAATAATTGTTTATCTGTATTATGAAAAGAAAATGCCTCTTTATAAGTTAATGGTGGTAGGACAACATACGAATATGATTGATATTGGACTTTATTTATCACCTTTATTTCTACTAAATTATTAAACCCAGACTAATTGACTTACTGCCATGAAACGATCGCCTTTTGAAGCTTTGATATTATTTAAAAAAATCAACCAAATCAAATGAATTTTTGTTCAAGAACGTCATTTAATGCCAATGATTAAACCATAAGGAAATGAAAGAAAAATTACTTAAATACGAAAACTTACTTAAATAGGAAAGTTTACTCTACTCTTAAGAATTGCACTTGAAGAACAGGGAACCGTCATCATAATAACAAATTTTAATCTCTGAAGCTTAACTTTGGCTAGCTAAATAACGTTGAAATAGAGACCCAAATACAAGATTCAATTTTATTTTATTTTAATGGAACAATATTTCAATTAATTTAAAACATCAACCCAAAAAAAATACTATTATCTGCTAGATGTATGACCATGGATTGCTATTCTCTTGAAATGAGTAACATGAATCTATATGCCAATTCATTATCAAAACTGCTCTACATGAAAATAGAAACCTTTTCAAAACCAATAAAGCAGAGCACCTAATTTAAGCTCAACTACGGGCTGAGACAAAGAAATAAAATACATAACAACACCACAGATTTCATTTGTCATGTAACCACAAAGAAAAACTAATTGATACCTATAATATTTACTCCATGTTTAAAACCAAGGAAAGAAAAGGCAAGTTAACATGTTGTTTTCATGGAAATACCTTATACATTTAACTAAATTTATGATATTAAAAATTGAGACAGAAACTTAAACATTTGAACCTATATCAGTACATTGCTGTTTTGTTGGCGATTTTTTACAAAAAACAAACAAAAAAAAAAAAAAAAAAAAAAAAAAAAAAAAAAAAAAAAAAACAAAGGTGACAGTGAGTCACAATAACAAAGCAACTATTTATTATATATGCTCACACACAAAACCTTACAAAAAAACAGAATGCTTTAAAAGCTTAGAACAAACTGAAGAGAACTCAAATTGGTTCGTCTCCATTCATTCTTGACTCAAAATTACTGTAGCACTTTAAGAGAATTACCTGGATAGCAGAAAGAAAATGTCAGCAAGGGAGGAACTAAATTTCAGCAACAAATAGCAACGCAACAGTAGCAAAATCAACAACTTATGACCCGAGAAACAACCCAGAAAAATCCAACAAAAAAGTATTTGAAACCAGTAGCTACTTCCCCAGCAATCACCTAGGATTCCTTTATTTTCTTACAAGTTTTACACTCTAGGAAGCACTCACGAAGTTCAGAATTTTCAGCTTACTATTATGTATGTTCAGGTGATCTCTTCTGAAGTTTGTGTGCCTTTTTAGAGTGTAGAAGGTGATGTCTAAGTGTGTTAAGAGTGTCTGAAAAATCTGCAACTTAATTGAAAGAAAGACCTCTCCTTTCATAGGAGAGGGTGGCATTCAATTATTATTGACAACCTATATTCAAGGATAGATTTTCCACCAAAAATCTGTCCCAACAGTTCAATGGACAGATTTTTGGTCAAAAATCTGTCTAAAGAACAATTGCTTTACCAACTGTGTGTAGTGTTTGGAACAGTGTACTCAAAATAGCTATTAAAACACTAAAAGCAACCAAACATGGGCCCTACACTCAAGTACCCCTGACTTTATCAACAAATAACTGAATTCAAAACTCAAAACTTCAAACTCAACAAACTATGGATTGATAAAGCAACACTCAAACAAACTAGATTGATATAAGCTGGTTCAAGTATAAAAATAGTGAACGACTACAATCACAATTATTGTGAAAACGGAATTTAACAAAACCTGAGCTAAAATATGATTCAAAGTTATGAAGTAATAGGTAATTCAAAACTTATATGATCATCATTCATTTATACATAACTAACAGAAACATGAATAAAAAATTAAGCCTTAAACCTGATACAAGTTACAAAATCGAAAAATCAGAAAAAGAAAAAAGGAGACAGGGTTTACTGAATACACGAGTCTTGGAGAATCAATCGGCTTGCCGGAATAACAAACGGGCAGCCACCAAACTTGGGATGTTGTGCCATCTCCAATCGATATAACAAAAAATAGCCAACTTATTGAAGAGCGCACAATGTCTCAAGCTTAATGACTCAAAAAGAAGGCAATTTCAAGTAGTAATGGTGGTATGGAAGTGATGGTCGCCGGAATTTTGGTCGTCGGAGTTCGGCCGTGAAACCAAAGGGGGATTGATAGATCTTTAAGAGATCTATCCGGTGATGAAAGAATTAAAGTGTAGGGATGGCCAGAGTTCGTCTAATTCGAGAAAATAGGCGGCGGCTAGAGTTCGGTTTTGGAGTAGACTTGAGAGGATTGAGAGGGATTTGAGAGATATGGGGTTTGGATTCAGGTAAAAGGTGAAGAGAGGGATGGTTGGGTGAAGTTTTGGGAGTGTTTGGACGGCGGCAGGTGGTGGTGCCGCCATGGAGAAGGCGGGGGCAGCGGCAGAGGAGGAGTGGGAGAGAAGAGAGGGGGCTAGGGTTTGTGTTACGTGAAAATGAGGCCAAAAATTCTGATTATTAGAGCTTTATATACGTCATATGAGATTGATTTTGCACAAAATAAGTGGCCAGGATTTGATCTTGAATATTTAACCAAAATGACGTAGTTTCGATATAAAACTATGTCGTTCGGACCCTCCTCTGGCAGCCCCATTTGGACCGAATTTGTGGCTCTATGGGCTTCTGATTTTGGGCCAATTTTGGCTCAATTTCAATTAAAATACAGTAGCCCAATCCCTTAACCCCTAATTATCTTATTTAGTCCTAAAGAAAATATACAAGTAGAAAGAAAATCTTTTTGGTATATATAATTTAAAGATGCAAACTAAAATATACAAATAAAAGGTAAAAAATATTTTTATATATTTAATAAAGGAAGGCAAATAAAAATGCACAAATAACTAAAAATCATCCAAAAATTAATATTTGTAGGAGAATTTGAAGCGAGCAAAAATTAGTTATTCACAGCTGCCTCTCTTTGCTCGAGAACATGAAGAGTTTTTGTGCAAAGAAAAGTGAATGCTATGACTAATTTTTGCTCGTACATCACTACAATGAAAGCATTTTTTGTGAAAAAGGTGATCGAACCTTGATTCCGAGGTTGCCTACATATCCTTAGCTATAAAGGAATCAGGTCAGTATAGTTCTGGAAAAATTTTAGTAGCTGAGACTACCGACACTAGAGTTAAGACTTCTACTGTTGTTATTATTGTTGTTACAATTACTTGTTGCTTACATTAAAAGAAAAAGAGAAGAGAACTACATATTACTACAAACTAAAAAGTTACAAAATTCTTATCTGTGTCTTCTAGAGTCAAATCTTGATTCTTGACTTGCACGTTTTTGTTGACCTTAGTTTGGATCTTGATACTCTTTGAAGAAAAGATTATGACTCAATCTGAATTGCTTGCTTTCCTGATCCGAAATTGAGATGATAAATCTTCTGAAGCTGGGTTACTAACAGATTGTCAAAGTTAACTCCAACTATCTTGTGATCAAAAGACCTTTTTCTTCTAATGATAACTAAAACTACAAGCTTTGATCATCACAACATGTGCTCTATGGCGGGGCCTGCAAAGCCATCAAAGTCAAACAAAACAAACAAAATTTTCTGCCCTATCTTGGTACTGAGAAAATTTTGTGAGTTTTGGGTAACACTGCAAATCAGCTTTATTTTATTTGAAAGATGCAAAAAAAGATACTGAAGACTCTGAATCGAATGTGCTTCTCTTAAGAGTAGAATTGATAAACTTAAACTAGGAGGTGCATTTCCCATGGGTAGCATTGGAATGACTACGAGGTTAAAGGACTCGAACTAAAAATTGCGTCTCCTAGGATTAATGATTCATATTAGGAAGTGTGTCTCCTAATAGGATGAATAGAGTTGACTCAAGCTAGGAAGTGTGTCGCCTAGGAGTGAGGTTAAGGGACTTGGACTAGGAGGTGCTTCTCTTAGGAATAAAGGTTTAGATTAGTAAGTGTGTCTCCTATTAGAATGACTCAAACTAGGAAGTGTATCTCCTAGGAATAAGATTGAAAGACTTGGACTAGAAAGTGCATCTCCTAAGATTGATAGTTCAGATTAGGTAGTGAGTCTCCTATTGGAATAACTCAAACTAGGAAGTGCGTCTTCTACGAGTGAGGTTGAAGGACTTAGACTAGGAAGTGCGTCTTCTAGGATTAATGGTTCAAATTAGGAAGTGCGTCTCCTATTGGAATAACTCAAACTAGGAAGTGTGTCTCCTACGGGTGAGGTTGAAGGGCTTGGACTAGGAAGTGTATCTCCTGGGAATGAGGTTGAAAGACTTGGACTAGGAAGTGCATCTCCTAGGATTAATGATTCAGATTAGGAAGTGCGTCTCCTATTGGAATAAAGATATGGATTTAAGAAGTGCCTCTCCTAGGATTGATGGTTCAGAGTAGGAAGTGAGTCTCCTATTAAAATGACTCAAATTAGGAAGTGCGTCTCCTACGAGTGAGGTTGAAAGTCTTAGACTAGGAAGTGTGTCTCCTAGGATTGATGGTTTAGAGTAGGAAGTGTGTCTCCTATTGGAAAGACTCAAACTAGGAATTGCATCTCCTACGAGTGAGGTTGAAAGGCTTGGACTAGGAAATGTGTCTCCTAGGATTGATGATTCAGATTAGGAAGTGCGTCTCCCAATAGAATGACTCAAACTAGGAAGTGTGTCTCCTACGAATGAGGTTGAAGGGCTTGGACTAGAAAGTGCGTCTCCTAGGATTGATGGTTCAGATTGGGAAGTGCGTTTCCCATTGGAATAACGCAAACTAGGAAGTGCGTCTCCAACGATTGAGGTGGAAAGGCTTGGACTAGGAAATGCGTCTCCTAGGATTGATAGTTCTGATTAGGAAGTTCGTTTCCTATTTAATAACTCAAACTAGAAAGTGTGTATCCTACGACTGAGGTTGAAAGACTTGGAGGGAATGTAACCAGTGGTTGGCGCCCTGTATCAATTAGAAAGAATATAACCAGGGGTTGGTGCCCTATATCACTAAGAAAGAATATAACCAGGGGTTTGCACCTTGTATCACTAAGAGGGAATATAATCAAGGGTTGACGCCCTGTATTAGCGATAAGGAATGTAACTAGGGGTTGTCACCCTGTATTACTAAGAGAGAATATGGCTAGGGATTGGCACCCTTTATCGCTAAGAGAATGTAACCAAGGGATGACGCCTTGTATCACTTAGAGATAAAGTAACCAGGGGATAAGATACCTTGTATGAAAATGGAATCTCACTAAAGATTGTTGTACCTTATGGTTTCAGCTATGGATTGGTGTACCCTATACTAAAGATGAGACTAGGGAGTGGTGTGCTCTATGTCAAAATGTAACCTCAACTAAGGACTGTTGTACCTTATGCTGGAAAATGCAGTGGTCGATTATGTGATTATAGGCATATCTAGAAAGAAAAAGCACAAACTTTGAAGAATTTACCTTTGGTGACATTCCTCCTCTGAAAACTTCATTTCTACACTACTTTGTTTCATGCTTCAAACAAAGAAAGATTTGTGAGTTTTCAAAGTGGTGGTCGGTTTGTGGCCTTGAGGTCCTGAGTAGTCTAAATTCGCGGTGACCTTCTGAGGAAGAATTGATTCTTTCAGTGCGGTACTGAGTTGCTCGGATAATCTGTATTAATTTATGAAGACCTTGGCTTTCTATCGTTGCCCCCGACTATTTCGTACCCGGATGTCACACACCCTTTGGCGATTTTTTTTTTATCAATTTTGATTATATTGTGGCCGGTATCAGTTTATGTCTGGGGTGCGATCCACTTTTCCCATGAAGTAAGTCTTGCTTAGCGACCTTTTCAATTTCTTCGAAACACTTTGTTCGGCTTATCAGAGAAAATCACGGTTGGGTTTGTGCCTTTGTCAATGTCGTGTATGCCCCACATCATTTGTTTTGCACTTTCGGGAAACGGTAACCAATTTTGTGGCTCTTTCTTTGATGGATTTCTAAGCAAATAGACCAACAAAGTTTTCTCTTTGGAACTTCTATTTGCATGAACCCTCGGATCTTGTTTAACTTCAACAACTTATTGTGCATGTTGCTCCCTAGGTATCTCCTCTTTGATGTGATAGGATAGACAGTTAGAAAGCTAGTAACAGATTTTGAAATCATTTCTTGTTTGTTTTAACAAAGTTTGACTCAAAATAATAATGCAAATGGACACAATGACGCGATGTAAAAGTGAGAAGGAACAGTATTTAACTAAAAAATGCTACTTTAGGGGAAAAGAAAGAAAGAAAGAGATTTTTTGAATGTGGTAGCCAACTTTAATGATCATGACATGCATTTTGGACTGAGCTGCCGAATCTGTCCAACCAATCTACCTTTTCTTCTTGTTGTTCCTTTTTCGTCTTTAAAGTTGGCCTCTTTATGTCAAACATTTGCATCAAATCACAACTCACTTTTGACGAGCAGTGCCCTGAAATATTTTCACCAACCATCCTCTCTCATTTATTTATCTCTACTTACCATCGTCTTACAGTTCCCATGAGGGTTTTTACCAATAAGACTCTCTCATTTTCATTCATTATCTTCTTCTTCTTTTTCTTCTTCTTCTTTTTTTGCCTTTTTGTGCGAGCAACTTGACATTGTTCTATGTCGTGTGACAATTGTTGCTTATTGTGTGCTTCCGATGGTATGATAAAAGACTAATTGGAAGGTATTTATTTGGAAGGGTTTTGGAGAGGGTAGAAAGAAAGAGTCATATTAAGGCTCAAAATAAACTCAAGATGATATGTCGTATATTTACAACTCTTGGAATCGACTCTTCATAAAAACATAACATAAAAAAAATCTGCCCTAGTTTCAGATACTGGGGAATTTTTTATTTTTGATTTGGTTAGACTAAACCCTAGTGTAGAGCTGCCTATGTATCTTTTAAAGGAATCAAGTCAAACATAGTTCAAACTAACACGAAAGATTCCTTTGTTGTTTTTCTTTTCATTTTTCTTTCTTTCTTTCCTCTTTTCCGTTTCTTCTCTTCTTCCTCTTTTTTATAAAACAAAATGTCCTAGCTCCTATTTTCTAGTGGCATGGATATTAGATTCTTTTTTTTACTCTATACTTGATTCCAACAGAGGGGGGTCAGGAAAAAAAAACAGGCTCAAAGGGGTATCGAAGGGTATAAAGTATTTGGTTAGCAGAAAAAAGGCCTCCCAGCCTCAAGAATGCCAAACATTCTATCTCTTCTCAGGTTCGGCATTGATGGACATGACTGCCTTCTTAGTTTTGCTAGTTGTATAGCTCCGTAGTCAATATCTTGTTCGCATCAAATGGCCTTTGACAAATTGGAGCCACCTTTTCTTGGTCTTTGCCTTAATGTGAAATGATGCACTTCAGTACCATCTAATCAATTTTAAATTCCCTGGAATGCAACTTCTTTGGAGATTTGGGTCATCTTTCCTGATATGATTAGATTATGGCAGGTCGTGGCCAAAAAGCCTTTCATCGATTAGTCCAACTAGGCTTCAAAACTT